AGGGAAGTTTCACCAGCGTAACTTGCGGAGTATGGTACATGTGATTAGGGTGCATGTGATTAGGGGCATGTAACCCGTATTTTGTTTTTATATCCGATTTTGGAATTTGTTTTTGAAATATTGTTAAATTTTACTTTTGTATTTATAAATTGATTTATGATTTTAATTATTTTAACAAAATTTTTATTTTTTCTAAGATTTTTACGGTGAGTTTCTCCGGTGGCCCTAATGTGACACCACATATCAGATTGGACCACCCGTGTCGGTCTGAGAGGGTTATATTTAGTGGTATCAGAGCCTAAGTTGAGTAAAATATTTTTAGATAGACCGACCAATTGACAGTCAAAAGATGTATGGTCAGTACATGTCCTTAGACTATAACCGTACTTCTCTAAGCTGGAACTCCAAGGTCGAGTCCCTCTCCATAGCGAGCTAACCTAATTTTTCTATCCGTTAGGGATCGACCTATGCGAAAAGAAATATCAGTAACGTTTGTCCAAATTATGTAAGGTACCATACGAGTAATATGGGAGTTACTTATCTAAGAAATTCTGACCCGACTCCAGAAATAAAATTGAGAGATGTTACTGCTCTATGAACCTAACCTCATAACCAAGGTTGAATTGATTACACAAGGATAATTCTGTTTAACTTCTTTTATTGGAATATGGGTGAGTTCTAACAAGAATATATACTCAGCTAGTTAAGGATTAGTAGATAACATGTACTTCTGTAAAAGCTACTAGAAGACATGGAAGAACTTATGGAAGCTTCATTTCTGTAATTATGTGACATGAATGAATTTCAATGACGTAATTCTTATAAGGTGTATAGAATTGTAACACCCTAAATTAAGGGTCAAATTACGAGTTTTTAAAACTTATAGATAGTTTTAGAAAGTATAAAACATTCAGGGACCTTGTCCTGAGTTTGCTCATTTTTTATTAATGTTGAAAAATAAACCCCTCAGATCATCTTCTCCAGTTGAAACTAAAACCCCTAAAAGTTATCTCCCCCACTGACCCTCTTTTTCACCCAATTCCACCGCCATTCAGCCATTGTTCGTCACTTCGACGCTACCAATAAACTCACCGTCAAATAGTGAACAAAACCCAACCCTTATCCCATCGTGAATCGGTGTCGTTCGCTGTGAAACTCACCTGGAAGTTTTGTCAAAAACCCCCGACTGCAGCTCATTTTCGATGATTTCGACCACCTCCGACGTTATTTTGCCTCACCGTCTACACTATTGTATTCACCATTGTCGTGCGCTCAAAACCCGATCGAAATCATTTTACCGTTGTTACTCAGTCATCGTCACTCACCAGCCACTGTTGGAGAATTTTATACATTTTAAAATTCTACAATCCGTTATGTTTCGTTGAAAAATAACACTTGCACGAGAATCCCGAGGTCCCGATCTAGCAATCTGGAAACTTTTGTGCCGAAATGACGACCAGAGTCGCACGTGTCGCCCCTGCGCATGGTCATCATTTGCCAGACTGGGGAGTGGACTGAACTGGTCTGAACCAGTCTGGACCGAGCCGAGCCAAGCCGAGCTGTCTGGGTGAGTCGTTAACCGTTGACTGGCCGTTGACCGGCCATTGACTTTTCCAGGTATACATATTCTGATTTTTTTGACATCCTAAGTCTGGTTTTTATGTTCGTTTCACCAAATTCGAACCCATTAAGTTGTTTTACACTGATTAACCACCCGATTCGATCTGTTTTTCGCAATTAAGCTCCGTTTGTGATGAAATTTCTATTGTTGTATATCTAAGGAATTATTGGACATTGAATTAACGATCGAATACGATCAAATGGAGTTTAAATATTCGTCGGTGGGGTACAAAAATCGAGGTAATACTCTACTACATCTTTACATACTTTATGGAACATATTGATAATGGATAAATACATTGATGTATATGATTAGTATATTATGCATTTTGATTATGGATGGACTCGAACCGATTATGGTTTAAGTGATAAATTGGTTATGACTCTATTGAATTACATAAAATAATTGGAAGACTGGTAAGAAATGATTTCTAGTACAGTGATGAATATGAAGAGTAAATGACTTCAGATTTATTAAATTCTAATTATTCTCGTTAAAAGGTTTAATACCAGAAACACATGATTATAAAATTATGAAATTACCCCTATGGGGTAAAAATGGTTCAGACTAACCCTCATAGTAAAGGTACCCTGAAAATTCATATTTAATCCGATAAATTGTTGATTCACCTGTTAAATTCCTGATCTGTTCGGAAAGTAACTAATAATCAGATCTTACATCTGAAAATGTACAATACCTAGAATTATCCTTTTTTCAGCAAATACCTAAAGGCTAAAACATCTGAAATATTATTTATGTTTGCATTGTTTAGACAAATTTTAGTAAATGGAAAGACCTAACCGAAGGAAATGACTGAAATACCCTTAAACTGCAAAATGGCTAAAATACCCCTAAAGAATAAAGTAATCCAAAATATCTCTAAGCCCTGGAATGACTAAAGTATATGACCTAGTTGAACCGAATGAAAGAACTGTATGTATTTAAATTTCAGAAATAACTGAATTACTCTAGAAACTCTGAAGTAACCGGGATAGACTTGATTATTAAATAACCTAAGTACCCTGAATGACTTAGGATTAAGTGAGTGACTTGGATAAGTTTAGAAACGCTGATGAACTTACATGATGTATTGTCCCTAAGATCCATTAAGCGAAGATTCTGAAGATGATCAGTTTGATAAAAGTTGTCAGCATTAAGTGCGAATACCGTTGAAGTGTAACGATTTGACCGATTAACATGTATCATTTATGGGATTTGTATGGTACGAGTTAACTCGATATTCCGATAGATCGTCACAAATATTAAATGCCCTGAATCTTCATTTCTCCCCTATTAGATGAAATCACATTCTCCAAGAACCTAATGCCCTAAATGCTTTTTATTTCTTGGATAATGGAATCACTCCTGTCATATCTGAAAACACAAGTAACTCATATGCAAAGGGTTCTGAATACTTTTCCGATTACATAATGCCTCTGGAAAATATATGAATACTATATGATCCTAATAAGCCACATTCTGAATAACAGATGATTACGTCAGCTAATAAACTCTTTCGATAGTGATTATAATTTCTAGTATTCTATCGGTATACCGAAGATCCATGTTTCCCTTCCCGAAAAGATTATCATGTATATCCAAATATTATATCAAACCTCTAGTATAGTCCCTGATCATCATAAATGTTTTCATTGATTTTAAAAGTATGACTATGTTATCCAGAATACAGTCTGACCTCTGATTTCTGCTCTGAACTTTGATATATGTTCTGATCTTTGATCTCTACTCAGATTAATGATATCTCTATTTACTGACTGAAATTATTTTCATACGGGATACTCTCAGACTCTGGTATGACTGAAGACACTGGCAGATTCAGTCACTGTTGGTAATTCCTAGTATAGGTTCAGCACCGACTGGTAATTCCTTATGGTCCTAAGGCGACTCTTGGGTGGGCTCCTGGGCCTAATGGGTCTAGTGGTAAGACCTTAAGGCACTCTCTTAGGGTGGCTATTCTGATGTGTGCATTGGGTAAGTCCTTATGGGCTTGAGGACACTCCCCCTTAGATGGGCACCTACGCTTCGGCTAGAGTAAGACCTTTTGGACCCAAGGTGCTCCCTTAGGTTGGCTCCTATGCCTTTTTCGACCTAGGGTAAGGCCTTGTGGATGCAGTTCTGAGGGAACTGCATATTGGCATACGGTTGAGGGTTTTATTATGATTTTTAAATATACATTTTAAACTGCTATTGTTTTAAAAAGATCTGTACATTTTCACTGGTTTTGTGGGAACACACTAGACACCCTATTCTGATCTACTGAACCTAGTCCTCCGACGTTTACTCTGAACTGGAAGCTTCATGTCTTTTACTACATGAGATATTAGTAAGACCTTCGTTCAGCATAAAAATATGTAGATGTATGAACCAATAAGAAAATTATGCTTACCTATTATATGCATGTCTTTCAGCATCTTTTGGTAGTATTGTATTACTGAGCTTCCCAAAGCTCACTATGTTACTCACCTTTTCAGGTTAAGAGAATTAAACCAGTACAACTATCGACGTCAGTAGGGGAGTTTCACCAGCGTTGCTTGCAGAGTACGGTGCATGTGATTAGGGGCATGTAACCCGTATTTGGTTTTTATATCCGAGTCTGGAATTTGTTTTATTTTTGAAATATTGTTAAATTTTACTTTTGTATTTATAAATTGATTTATGATTTTAATTGTTTTAACAAAAAAATTAATTTTTCCGAGATTTTTATGGTGAGTCGCTCTGATGGCCCTAATGTGACACCTCGAATTGGATCGGACTACCCGCATCGGTTTGAGGGGGTTACAAACACAAATTCAAGATGGATACCTACTTAAAAGTATCAATACTTGACCAATAGAATAGATACTTAACTAAGAATATTGATACTCAACAGTTAATTTAAGCTCTTGAAACAACGAAATTAAAAATTATGTTGGTATTCGATCAAGGGTATCAATACCCTTATTTAAATATCATCAAATTTATTATTTTATATTTATAATTACTCAAATGCCGTTAATATTTTAAATTATTTATATATGATTTTTAACGACGTGATTAAAGATTTTGTGAGCAAATTAAATTCATTAAGACAAAATCTTATTATAATATCAAAATGTGACATCTTATGTTGGACCGAGTGCACAGAGAGATTACACATTGACCTTATAGGTGGTTAAAATAGGAGACAAATGGTTTGTTCAATGGTGAGTCCATTTCCTTGACGGAGAACCCATTTTCCCCTTTTTGTCATTAAATAAATCACAGAGATGCCGTTAGGAAGCAATTAAAAAGGGGCGAGGTCGGTCGAGTTCCTTTGCTATATTATGTGGGGATTAGTTATAAACGCCACGTTTTAACTTCAACTTTCCCTTCATCTCTCTCCATTCCTTTCCATTGCTAAAAAAAAAAACTCAACTTCTCCCTATCTTTCCTCAAACCGATACTCTCCCTTTTCTCTCTCACTCTCATTTACAAAAACCTTAGCTTTCTTCATAAACTTGTGGGAAAAGTTGCATGTTTTTAACTGCCAATTTCCTCTCCTGTTTTTTAGCATTCAAGTGTGTTATCAGAAACTAGCAATGGGTGACTCACCAAACTCCGAAACTGGGTCAAGCACCCTGACCAACAACTCTTCTTCTTTGTTTCCGACTTCATTATCATCGTTCGATGGTAAAAAGAGAACTCCCGTTTCGAAGAGTGAAAAGCGTCCGAGGGATAGTAGCATCACCAAGCACCCGGTTTACCGGGGGGTCCGAATGCGAGCGTGGGGAAAATGGGTATCCGAAATCCGAGAGCCCCGGAAGAAGAGCCGAATCTGGTTAGGCACTTTCTCCACTCCCGAAATGGCGGCACGTGCACACGACGTCGCCGCGTTAAGCATCAAAGGCAATCCGGCCATCCTGAACTTCCCAGAACTCGCCGACTCGTTGCCGCGGCCGGCTTCCAACTCGCCACGTGACGTCCAAGCCGCTGCCGTTAAAGCGGCCTCAATGGAGTTGTCAAGTAATACTACGTCGTCGTCGGCTTCGACATCGTCATCGTCATTGAACACGGATAACGTGTCGACACCGGAGGAGCTGAGCCAGATAGTGGAACTGCCGAGTTTAGGGACGAGTTACGAATCAGTGGAGTTAGGGACTGATTTCGTGTACCCGATTGACGGATGGCTACTGAATCCCAATAGCATGCCTTGGTATTACGAAGAAAATAATGGGTATTTTGGAGATGAAATTTCTATGCAAACTCTAATCACTAATGTGTTTGGTCCTTTACCATTGAATCATTAATGGATAATCTTAAAAAATTAGTGTGCTTTTATCAAGTTGCCCTTTTTCATTTTTGTTTACCTTTGAAAAGGAAAATACCTTGCTTGGGTACAAAGAATTATGCTAGAGATTTAAGGGGTCTGGTCCATATGGATGGTACTGGCAAAGTTTACCAGTCTTTGAGCTTTTTGGTATGCAGTTGTTTTGCTTTGATTGGTCATAGAAAACAAAATTAGTAGATGAATTCATCTTTTTTTCCTTTTTCATTTTTTTAATAAAATAAAGGAAAAGGACAGAGACAATGGTTTTCTTTCATATTTATATTAAAATATAAGATAAATCGTGTATTTAATCATTTATCTATTTTTATAGTTTTGTTTTAGTTAATTAATTATTTTTTTAAATAATATTTAATGTTATATTTATATTTTTTTTCGATCATTTTTCGTTAAACAATAAATAATAATATTAATATGTCATTATAAGATGATGTCATATTATTATTAAAAAAATAAAAAAAAAATCTTTACATCAATAGTTATGTTTATTTTATAACTAAATGTAATGTTAGATATGATTTAAAGAATAGCTGAATGGCTAAAACGAAATCAAAAGAATAAGGGTGTGATTACGTAGGTTACCCTTAACTATAATAGATACGCTTTTTAATAATCAATTTATTTCTTTTAGAAATTTGATGATTCATTTTAGCTTATGTTGGAGCAATTAAAGCTGATATGTTTTCGTATTCGGAGTCCTTTCAGTTTTCAAGACTTTAATGGAATTATTAAAAGGCTAAAGTCAAAATATTCACATGGTTTATTCACATCAATTTATTTTATTTACTGACTGATTGAGATTATCCTTAATTAATTTACACCCTGATTTCCCCGAAGAAAATCTTCAATTTTAAAGCCTACTGTCTTTGGATCAACTCATATAATTCCGATCTGCCATTAAACTGATTAGTTGATTTATTTTTAAAACTGAAAACAGCGATTTTTTAAGTAAAATAACCAAATTAATGTATCGATTGTCTGTGTTAAGATTAAGTGGATGAATAAGGCAAATTAATTGTTCCTACTATTAATGTCGAATAATTTGTAATAAAATAACGATGCAGAGAAATTAGGGTTTCTCTTTTCCCCTAGTACTTGAATTCTACTTAGATCGTTGACCTTTGGTTTTAAAAGGAATAATTTGGGAATTGCAGTTAATTTCAAGCGTTTAAGCAGTTCTATTATTTCTATCTGCATGTTCAAAAATCAAGCACATAGAAAACAAAAATAATTTTAATATAATATAGAGGGTAAAGTGGGATTATATATCGTCCGGTTTGGAAAAGTCTGAAAACGTTAGGTAAAGTAGGATTATTGACACTTGAAAATAAGCCATCATCCTTTCCAGCTTTGTATTAGAAATCAAAGTAAAAAATGTTAATGAGTGGTTTAAAACCTTAATTCAATTCATTCATACAATTACTTTTATAAAGAGACGAAAAATATAAGTTTTGAAATTTATTGATGGAAAATGAGGCTGTGATGGTTGTAAGTGATTTCTCTATTTGATTTAGATATACAATACAACCGGTCATTTTGTGAAAAAAAAAATAAAGGCTTAATTAGAAAATAACTGTTCAAACTATATTATTTTTCTTCAATAGGTGTTCAATTTTTTTTCTATTCATTTAAATATTCAATATTATAGACATTATCACTTTAGGTGTCTCGATCGTAACGATCGTTAAAATATTCCGTTAATTGACACGTGTCATGCTATAGTAATTTTAAAAATTATATTTAAAATAAAAAATTAAAATTATATTTCATTTTAAAAATCAAAAATTTCAGAACAAATATATATTTTTAAAAATATATTATTTTTTTTTTTTTTTTAAAAAACCCACCCATCTTCATCCCATTGCCTCCTCCCCGCCGCGTTGTCTCCCTGCAATTCCCAAATCGCAAAGACAACTTGACCGATAAAATAATTGATGAAAGTGATGGACAAATTCAAACAAGCATGGACTCGATGAACTGCAACACATTTCGCAACAGATTTGGGTGGGAGTGTGGTAGAACCATCGATAATTCAGTCGGTCGGTGGCATTGGAGTTTTGGCCGGTCAATGATGTTGGGGTTTCGATTGATTGGCGGTGTTGAGGCTTTGTTCGGTCGACGGCGTTGGGATTTCGACAGGCAGTTGAAAAGAGTTAGAGTTTAGATTTAAGTATTTTTTTGATTTTTAAATATAATTTTAATTTTTTTAAAACTATAAAATTTTCAAAATAAATTATCAGTGTACGAAATTTTCTTCCTTAATAAATCCTATCAATCATCTTAATATGATACGGTCAGAACACTTAAAATAATAAAATTAAAATCCTTAATAAATTAAAAAAAATTATGCATCACTTAGAAAAAATAATATAGTTTGAATGCTTATATTTATATTAAGCCAAAAATAAAGAGATATGAGCCGAAGAATACTATGAATAGTACAAGAAGATAGAGAGTATGAGAGAAGGTAAAAGTTTCTTCCTTCAATCATGCATTATAGCTTATGTATCGACTTTTAGGGGTATTTGATCATGAATTGTAATATTATTTTATGAGAATAACATTATTAGAGTGTAACATTACTATGAGAATCTTTGTTTGGTTAGTTTAGTAGAAATGTAATATTACAGTATTTAGTTTGAGGAATATAAAATTATTTGAATGTATATTTTATCAAATTGTCCTTGTGATATATGTTTTTTTAAAGAAGCTGAACTTTAATATTAAATTTTAAATATTTGAATCAAAATTCATAGAAATATTTTAATCATTATATTTTCTAGCTTTTGAGAAAAAATACATTTAATATATAATTAGTATATTAAACTTGTATTTTTAAATAATTTTCATAGGTATCATATTTATTTATATAAAAATAATAATATAGTCTCAAGTGGAAAAAAGATATTATTTTTCATTATATAAGATCTATTTTAAATAACTTAAAGTTATATATTATTTTAAATAATTACATTTTTACAATAATATTATTTTTCACCTCATAAAATTATAAATAATTAATATATTAAATATTAAAAATATAAAAAAAATTAAATAAATATTCAAATTTATTAACATTTTACTAAATTAAACTCTTTGTATATTATTATTATGTTTATAATTTTGAGTAAAGTATAAAAAAAATAAGAATTGAGAAGGATTATTATAAAAAGAATTCATTAGTCTAGAGATATTTTTGTCAAATGAGTGGGAATTATCTAATACTTAAGAATTTAGAGATGATTACATTCTCATCATTTTAACAAAAAAAAATGTTACTATTAAAAAAAGATTATTCTTAAATAATAATATTTTCTTTAAACTAAACATGAGAATATAATTTAAAAAAATATATATATTTTCTTTTATAATGATTCTTTTCGTAAACCAAATGCCTCCTTTGTTGTTATTAAAACTATGATCAAAATTTTAAAACAAATTGACATCACCATCAAATAGTAGTTTTTGACGATGATGGATTGTTATCAGTCAGGTCAATGAACTGTAGCTAGCCAAGGGATATAAACATCTTAAAGTTCTGACACTCTAGACGCTTCGTTAAATAGAGAATTAACAATGAAAATGTTGCTTGTGGAAGAGATTCAGAAGTATAACAATTTAAAAATTCATAATTTATATAATAATCTCTATTATTTGATCATTCTTTAATTAATTTATTCATAAAATTAGAATCGGAATCTAAATGTCATTTTAAAAAGAAAAAATTATATTCTATTAGACTAACTAATATGGGTAGTTTTTTTTAATGATTCTAATTAAATAAGAAGTTTGTCAATACTTTAGGGGATGCTATAAAGTATTGGGGTTTTGGAGTAAGTTTAAAACTAGGGTGATAGTCCATTTCAATGTGTATATATAATATTCTCTAGACAAGAAGTGGCACGGAATTTGATAGATTTAGACCTATTAACCTAACAAAGTATTCGCTCCAAACCAAGGAAAAGGAAAATATGTATATTTGGTTCACCAGGAGCAAAGGGGCATAAAAACTACTATGTGCCTTCAATTTAGTCACTTCGATTCAGCACATTGGATACTAAATTTGTGGTCACACTTGCAACTTTGAATTATTGGTTTCATCTTAATCCATCCAGAAGTATACATGCGAGAACATGTGTGTATATATTTTAATCCTATAAATTTATTTATTTTTTATACATAATATTTATATAAAATAAATTTTATTTTTTAAAATTAATATTTTTACCACTAAGTAAAACTTTCATTAGTAAAATTGAATGCAGAAATTATTTAATTAGAGAAAACTACCATAGTTAAAATAATGTTTATTGATCAGTATTCTTAAGGTGCTTTTTAAAATCATCATCATATTAGATAAGCTAAAACAATCAAAATAAACATTTGGGAAATTAACCAGATATTATTGTATTCAATATAATTTTATTAAAAAAATACATATTAGGGACACTTCAACACATTTGTTAATAAAGCCATATATATATATATATATAACAAAAACTCACTAATATCCAAACTCTTTGGAATTTCAAAGAAGTGGACTTCACGAAATCAAAACAGAAATTGTTGGTGCAATCTATGTTCGAATTTTCATATACATATGGAACGGTTGAATTTTTAAAAACTTAGTTTTATTTTAAAAATTTTATACCATTCTTAGGATGAAATCTTACGTACATCTCTAATAAAGCTGGTTTTCTTAGAAATATTGTTATATTATTCCTGGGTTTTCTTGAGAGGGTATTCGACAAACTTATCATTCGAGTATTTAGGATTTTGTTTTTGGTGGTGTGGAGGTGGAGGACCTAATAAATTCGACACACTCAGAGGAGTTTGAAAGCTAGACTGAATAATCAAATTTTATATGTTGTTTCTACATTTTCAAAAAATTACAGTTTTCTAAAAATATTTTATAATTGTAAAAAATATATATTATGACTTTTCTTATGTTTTTAAATAATATAATTTTTAAATTTTTTAAAATTATTATT